GTGTGTGTGTGTGTACATATATATATAAGGTGGTAAAGTATTAATACACTAATTCTGGATGTTTCTGGACATTTGCTAAAGATGCTGAAAATAATTATAGATGTTTTTTCCTCAGATGATGAAGTATTTGCCCAGGCTTGTCCATTGCTGAGGAACAACCAAACAACACTGCACTATTAACTTAATCTGGGCTGGAAGCAGAGCATGGGACGCACTGCTGTGCCTGCTCAAGTTATGGCAAATACTTTTATGCAGTTTGATACACTGGCTAAACACAGCCCTGTGAACAGTGAAAAATACACAGCCGTGCTTACTATTCTGCTAAAGGGATTTGAGAGTAGTTCCAAGACTGCCAAAAAATTATCATTCCTTTGGTATCTTTCTGACTCCATTTCAGTCAGTGTGAATGCACGACCTGCAGGTTTTCAAATGGAATGTATAAAGTTGCAAGCAGATATTCAACTCAAAACTCTGATCATATCTCTCTAATAGACTTTTATAAGTCTTCTCTGCCCAGATAGAAATACCCCTCACTTCACAATCTGCCTTATTCGTGTCATTGCTGTTTGGCAGTTTGCATGTTTGTGAAGAACTGTTTCCAAGGATGAAGCATGGAAGGAGTAAAATTCCATCAAAAATCTCTGCGGAATGCCCTCAGAGCTCACTAAGAATTGAAACCACTCCCCATCAAACCAGGTATTGCATTAGTTTTACAAAAACAAAGTCAGATATCCCGCTATTTTTATGGTTCTGTTGCTCTCTTGTTTTATGTTTTAATAAAAAAATAAAATAAAAATTAAACTGTTGTATTACTTACATATTCACTGTATTATATATTTTATGAGGGCTGCTCTGACTGTAATGCCTTCTGGTTTATTTTGTCTCCCATGAGGTTGTTGGTAGTGGTACGACAGTAGAGGTTGAACATTCTGGTACATGTGGTTATGTGACAGATGGCAGCAGAGGAGCAGTCTGACAAGATGGCATCTGATATGGCAGTGCACATGGATAAAGCAAAGGTGTGTCACTGAATTCCTCCATGCAGAAAAAATGGCACTCGTTGACATTCACCAACACTTGCTGAGCATTGATGGAGGCCAAATAGTAATGAGCACAGTGAGGTGGTGGGGGGGTACATTTCAGCAGTGCTGACAGTGGGTCAGAAGTGGGTCACTTCTGCTGGTGCTCTTGCTCATTGTTGGCAAAAATGCAGAACTAATGGTGGTGACTGTGTTGAAAAAGAGCATTCTGTAGCTGAGAATTTGCTATTTCAACAGGTGTTACCGTGCACTTTGTATCTGTTGTATTTTCTGTGGTAATAAATATTCAGGGCGTCCCTCTTCACTTAACACAGCCCCTGCAACCAAAAGACTGGACACTGATGTATTAGTCTACATTCATAAAATGTTTAGATGCAACACTATGTACATGAAATACCAGCTGTGTGTAAATACACTGCATTTAAGGACATAAGGATAGGTCACAGAGGGGGAGCCTCTGTGATTGGAAACACATCCTTCCACACTGCTTCCAAAAATGTCTGCAAAGTGTTACATGCAACCTTGCATACTGTTAGCTACATCCCTGTTGTGCAAAAGGCAGCAACCATCCACCTACTGCCAGTATTTCCTCACTAAACCCTGTCCCTTAGTGTGGAATATCCATTCAGCCAGTTGAGGTCAGCTGTCCTGATTTGGTCCCTTTCCCAGTTCCTTGTCCCCTTCCCCCTCACCCCCAGTTCTTTTGCTGGTACGACAGTACAAGATGCTGAGAAAACTGAAACAGCCTTGGCTCTGTACAGCACTAAGAGGCAACAACTAGAAACACCAGCATGTTGTCACCATTGTTTTTCTGCTAAAACCAAAGCACAGCATCATACCAGACACTATGAAGAAAAACAGCTCTGTCCTAGGAGAATGTAACATCATTAAATTGTGACAAATCCTTCTTGCTGCATGATGACCCTCCTCAAAACTATTTCCTTTGCCTGATGCTGATTTTCTGGGAAAAGATATTATTTTTTTTTAAACATACACAAGGTTGATTATTATACCAGTATCCTTCCCTATCAGACAAAATCTTGTCTATTAATTATTAAAAAGGAAAACGAAACTAAGAATGGTTTCAAAATTATTGGTTTAGAGGACTGGAGAAGGTTTCTGTGTTTGCTCTTAATTGTTGCCCTGATGTAGAGGAAAAAAGCTGAGTTGAGCTGTACTCACAAGAGCAAGTGCAAAGCCCAGGCTGTTCTGCTGCTTTTGAGTGTGAGGGCATTGCAAAGACAGAAGGGTGGCAAGATGAAAAAGTAGAGTAACAGAAGCAGGAACTGAATGCTTAATTACCCCTATATGGTTAACTCCTGTTAGAGAAGGACACCAGGGGTGCAATTTAGATATGTAGTAAGCTCAATTGGTGTTAGCCCTTGATCATTTAGTTAAATACCTTTCATCCAGGCATTGTGTCACATGGATAGTTTTCTCTCCAGAAGAAGCAATTCTGCACCTAAGATTTGAAGTTTTAAGGTGGGAGAAGAGAAGCTTCAGTTAGCCTACAGCAAAGAGCAAGTTTTGTTTTTGCTAGAGCGAAGCCTGTATGACTGATAAGTAGCTTTAAATGCTTTCAAAGTAGGCTTCATTTCTCAATAGCCAAAGAGATGGATAATTCCTTTTGCACAGGTTCTTCCCTACTTAAGCAGCATTTCTGTTTTCAAGCATGATAAAAGCAAACAGTATATCAAATGCCATTGAAAGCAGCTCAGTCATCCAGAAAAAGGCAATAAAAGGTGCATTTAGCAAGAACTATCACATTTGAGCTTCAGTTCAGACAAAAGCTTTACCATTAGGCAGCAGAGACACTTGAGCACCCTGAGGAGGAAGCAGGGCTGCATTCGGAAGGCGGTGGTTTGCCCTCAGGTGGTGAAGATGAATTTTACTGCTGAACCGCCTAGAGTTTCTCTGCAGAGGAGGTGATAGATTGCCCTAGTTAAGTTGATTTTGACAAAGTTGAGTTTTCCTCCATGTACACAGACTACAATGAAAAGTTTTAGCTTCAGTCAAAACTTCGCTTCAAAATATTTGGGATCCAAAGAACCACACTCTTGGCAGACTTTCTAACTTCATTGGAGAACATTTACTTAAGAAGAGCTGTGTGGGGGAGATGGATAGCACAATTTGTGCCACGACGCCTTCTGAACACATGAAGTATCAGGGCTGTCTGTGCAGTGCCTAAGCAGTAGCTTGTTGCAAAAGCTAAAAAACACTGAGGAAAAGATAAGGAAAGGGACAAGAATTATACTGGGGGAAAAAAATGGGAAGCTCACAGGCATAGCCTTTCTGCTCCTGGTTAAGTACTTACTGTAAATGGAAGCCTCTTCTGTACTGCAAGAGGCCACCCAGTTCCAACCCCTGCTATCAGCAGGACTGCCCCAAAGCAGTTCAGCTGCCCATGGCCCCATCCAACCTCACCTTGGGCACCTCTAGGGATGGGGCACCCACAGCTCTCTGGGCAGCTGTGCTAGCACCTCACTGTCCTCTGAGTGAAAAACCTCCTGACAGCTAATCTGAAAGAATTTAATTCCTTTGAATGTCGCTAAGCAACCTGTCAGAAGGCCACTGCAACATTTTCACTGGGACAAAATGTGTCACATGAAAGGCAGATTACTTTCAGAAAAACCTAGTGAGACAAATGATCTTGACTCCTAGTTTGATGTGAACTGGGAGTTTCCTGCAAAGCACTGTTACTCCACATTCAGCAAACCTCTTCTGTGCTCAGTGTGCTTGCTCTAAAACCATTTGGCTGTTAGTTAACCAACTCTGCAAGCAAGCTGCCCAAAAATTTATTAATGGCTAAAGTTTAGAACCTTATTCCTTCTCTAAAAAAGGAACTTAAGGATTGAAATTATACCTATTTGTTTTATTTACAAACCCTTGCCTGGTAAAACAGCTGTGGTTGCAGTACCACTCAGCTGGCTAGAGAAGGATGGAACAAGTACAGTGAGGCTTTAAATCTGGCCTCAAACTACCTCAGAGCCTCCCTGCAGTCCTTTGCTGGCTGGCCAGTCAAAAAAGGGAATTTCCCAGAGCTGAAAAGCAGATGAAGGCTCAGCTGATAAGCAAAGCACAACTTACATGGAAATAAGTGATGGAGGTGGCACGTTAACTCTATTGGCAACGGTTGAATATTTTTCATCCTATTTCCTGTGATTTAACAATTGAATTCTGCACTTAATCAAACTGGAATCTCGCATCAACAATAAAAATCACATTGATGCGTATAGATCAGTGGTTTCAAAGTGTCAATGAGCAACTGACAGAATGTTACACTGAAGTACTGTAACTCACACTGAAGTACTATTACTGTAGTGCAATTTGCTTTATCTAGCCAGCAGCAGGTGGTGTCATCAGTTTGTAAACTATCTTACTGATCTATTGAAGATACAAGGTATTCCCTCTAGAACCTTGCACACTGGGTCTTGCCTGTACCTAAAAGCAGGTAGGACTTACCAGCAGGAGCTGATACCATGCAGGTGTCCATTCTGCTGCTCCATTTCAGATGTCTTTCTGGGATTGGAAGAAGCTGCTCACAAGGCTGCCTGCTTAGCAGTTGCTTCAGCTTCAGTTTGGGGTTACAATTTTCTTGGTCATCCCCAAAAACAGCCTTCAGCTTTCACAGTCCCCACAGATTATGGTATCGTCAGAAGCTGGAGGTAGGCAGTCATTTAAAACCAAAACCGAATTCAAAACAACAATAAAAAAAAAAACCAAAACGAAACCAACACAACAAGAAGAAAACCTAACACTGGACAAGAGGCTTAGACCACAGGAGGCACTGGAATTAAGCATTTGGTGTTTTAATTATCACGTGGACTGCTCTGTAAGCACAGCCATTCTTACATACAATTAAAAAAAAAAAAAAAAAAGCACATGCTTTAAATGCCTTCTACCAAAACAGCCAGAAGGTGGAGAAGGGCTTCTGACTGGAATTTTTACCTTAAGAAATTTTCAGTCAAGGATCCGATGACAAGACTGCATGGCCATTTTGCTTTCTAAAACTCTAGGTGGCTCTGAGATGAGCAGATCATCCTCACCTAGTGAAGAATTCTGCTCAGTGTTCACGAAGTTAGGAATGTTAAATTTCGTAAGACAATTCAGGTCCTCCTCTAATGTTCCACCGCTCCTGGAAACTTCCTGGAAGTGGATATTACTCTCCAGATCTGGACCTTTCTGACTTTGTTGCGCTTTGTCGAGATGTTCCACTTCATTAATGCAGAAATGGAAAAGTGACCGGGACTCGTCAGCTATTTGACGAGAAAAGACTCTCTCCGACTCCAAAGGTCTTCCAAAATCTGCCACGAAGCTATTCATCCGAAATCTTTTTTCAGAAGATTCTGTATTTCTAGGGAAAATAAAAGTACAGTGAGACTATGAATTTAGAATTATTGGCATTCTTAGCAGCATGTCTGGTTTCAGCAGTTATTATAACTAGGAAGAAAGAAAACCCTTCAGCTCGTCTCTGAGAGTTACAAGCCAGCAGTGTTTATTATTTTCCACTGAAGCTACTTTGCCTTGATTTTGAGTGGTAATTTTCCATGGGAATAAGTTACAAATGCCAGCACTCTTTAATGGCACTTCTAGCCATCAGTGTAATTCAATAATCTGCTCACACCACTGAATGAGCTCAGAACTACTGTACAGAATTTCCTCATAGAGCAAGCAGTAGAAGTTTAAAATAAACGTTTCATAGAAGGCTGTGAGAATAATCTTTCATAGCTGGAACCTTTCAGAGACATAGGCAACACTGCTGTCATTAAAGACGTAATTTGGGTGGTCGATTGTCTAGATATCAAACCACCTTTCACACTGATCTCAGCCACTGACACTCAGATTTCCAAATTAGAAGAGTGCTGTAAGGACTGGGTGGCTTAAAATTTCAGAAACATAGCACGGGAAAGACATCTTGACATCTCTCTTTTCTGGAAGTGTTAGTTCTGCAGAACAGCTGCAGTCTACATAGATTTGTGAGAGGCCGTCAACAGCTGGGGGTGAGGAAAGCTCGAGGTAGATGATGAAGCTTTACAGATAGCAATACATTCTCTGTCAGCCTGGCTTTATATGCTGTCATCACCAAAAGCAAGTTATTTGCATCTGAAAGGCAGTAAAGGCTTTCAGAGATGAGTAGTGAAAAATGGAAACATTCTCAGGATAGAATTATTTTGCTAAGTAAGCATTGCTAAATTATATCACTAAGATGTGGACAAGTAGCAGATGCCACTGAAGCCAGATATTTGGACTCCTGAAGGTGCATGCAACACTTACTGACACAGGCTGAACACTGTAGAGTCTGCTGGAAGAGTTAGATTACAGGCTTCTGAAAGCCTCATCTGGCACGTTCATAAATCTATCCCTAAAGCCTTCATGTACAGAGGATGCTCACCATCAGTCTTTCACTCAGAGTTAATCACAGAGATCCCTCCCATCCAAGTGCTAATTTACATTCATTACATGATGTGAGAATTAGAGCCTAACAAAAGCAGTTACATTAGACTTCAAATCAAAACAGCACTCCAGCTGGTGGAAACAGTGTTGGTTCATTCTGCATTTCAAAGTGAAGCGTGTAGAAGAAGCATAATTTTTAAACTGATGTGAGACTGGAGTAGACAAAAATCTGCTGTAAACCCAGCAGGAATCAAACTGTACAGAACAATGCTGCAGTAATCTTTGGGACAGATAACTGCAGTTACGTATTTATAAAGCACCACTCTGAATGAGAGTTGCTTCTACAGTTCTGTGACAGAGTAAAGCTGGCAAGCACATTAAGAAGAAACATTATAAGCTCACAGAGAAATGATTTAGGAAGAAAGCAAGTTCATAGTAAGGGAAATTCCTTTATAACCCTAAAAGCTGTAAAGGCTCACTGCACAGAAGAGCACCCAGGATTGGCAACAGCAGTCTGATCTCAGTGGATGAATAGAAGATGCAGATAAATTTTAAAATGACCATAATGTTGAGAATTCATTCAGAATAATCCTATAATCCTATCAGGAACACATTGTCTAGTATATAGTCATCTCTTGAGATTCTGAAATTCACATACACTGTTCCTCCTGTACTGTGAGGGACATTTTTTTTTTTACTAGACTAGAAACATCTATAGTCCTTCCCATTACAGTACTCAAACATACGTCAGTGTGTTCTATTTAGAAGATTCATAAAACAAGAAAAGCAGTCTCAAATCCCAGGTTTATATTTGGAGGACCACAGCAGGGAGAACAACCATTTGGACACCAAATCCCTACTGAATATTTGGGCCAAAAGGACTCTTGAGTCCCAGAAGTTATCAGCAAGAGCAGGATGGTGAACGCCAGCCATCTTCAGTGTCAAAGGTACTGAAAACCACTCAAAATGGTTGGTTCATTGGCAGTGAATAACACAGGGAACTAAGCTCCCTTTTGGGAATTTTCCAGCCTGCAGTGCCAGGCTCTGGTTGCTAGACACAGTATTAAGCAGATATGCAGAAAAAATGCTTTTTATTTTTTGCACAAGCTGTACTGTGCACCTACTAATTCAAGAGAACAGAAAAAGAGTGCTAAAGGCATTGTTCCTGTAACTGATTACATTTCTGCCTCTCCTCATCCATGCCCTGAACCTTTCCCCTGGGCTGAGGATGTTTCCAAACTTGAACATCTTGTATAATTTTAAGAAGTGTATGCTATCATACCCTTTTATAGTGAGCCAAGAAAAGAGTACTACTAGAAAAGTCAGAGTACTCTATTTTGGATCCATCCATCTGAATCTCGTTACATTTATCTCTCACGTTAATGTTACTTTAAAGAAATGCCAAATTGACTTACTGAAGTCAGAGACATGTCTATCAATCAGGATGGCTTCCTCCCGAGACCATTAATATCTATTTCTTAAGGACAGCTGCAAGGCAGCCCACAAATGAAGCAGTGAGTCATAAAGAATCCAGTCAGTCCTAGAGACAGAAAGATGCAGGCAAAACAAACCCACAGTCTACTCTGTTTTCACCTTTTAGCAGGTATTTATGTTGTCCAGTCTTTATATACGTGTAGCAAAAACAAAAGGCATCAATACCTCAATACTCTTAGCTTATTTCTGGATGCTCTATTTGCAGTACCATACATAGTAGGCTATAAATACCAAATCCAAAAAATAAAAAATAGTGCTCAAATTTGTTACAAGTGCCCATCTAGCGTATGTAGTAAGTGGGAAAATATTTGAGCATATAGCTTCTCAAGGCTGCAAAGGAATTTTAAAATACATATAGAAAGAAATTGAGTGGGGTTTCTTCAACAGCTGAAGAAAAGCATGAAGATTTAGACTGGAAGGGAACTCTGGAGGTCTTGAGTCCAATGCCTTGATGAAAGTAAGGCATGCCCAGGCTGCTTGAGGCTTTCTCTAGATGCAGAAGCTGAGTGGAGATGGAGGTTTCACAAACTCTCTAGACAATCTGTTCCCACAGTACTGTGGAAGTAACAAGTGCAGAAGATATCAAGCAGCCCTCTGTTACTTCAGAGTCCACTTTTAAAAGCAAACAATCATTTTGATAAATATCTATGTAAAATTATCGTGTATTTGACTTCATCACTTCCACTCCCGTTAGTATTATGCATATGAGATATAAACTTGGATGTTTAATGAAGAAAAAAAATCTGCAGGGAAAAGAGCTAGAATTTACGTAAATTAAATATATTTGGTAGCATGGTGTGGCTTTATTTTTTTTTACTTGAAATAATGCATGAAGAAAGCTAAAATACCAGCTACAAAATTCAGCAAGTCAGTTCTGGAAAGCTGAATTCTTATGCCTCTGCTTCTTTCTCACAGAAGCAGCAATGCACAGAACCTCACAATTCTTGCAGGTCTTCCGTAACACGGTCCTGCCTCTAGAGATCTGCTATCACAAGCTTTCAGGCAGAGCCTACATTATGACTAAATAACAATGGGTAGGCAGAGAAAGGCAGGCTGCTTCTGTGATAACCACAGGCAATTGCCTCTCACAATCAGCTTCTCATGATTACTACCTGCCTGTAAGACCCCTCCAGTGAGCCTTTTTATTTCTACCTGATGAGAAGCAAACCCGAGAGGAAGAAATGTGAGTTCAGATGGGATACTGGCAGCTGCATGCTGCACAACTGCTTTAAGTATGAGACTTGCAGATAAATGCCTGAGCCAGGATATGGTCTGCACATACTTAGCAGCCAGAAGGAAGTGGAAAAAGGCTTAGATTGTGACTAAGAGGACTCTGGTGTTAGGAAGTATGGAGCTGGATCTGGTCTTCAGCATCTACTGCAATTTTTCAGCAGAAACCAAGACTCTTGGAAGCTTGTGAGTACAGGGTAAGGGAACGTCTTGCTAATTCAATTGATAACTACATTTTGGACTTCAGCATATAAAACCTTCCAGTCTTCAACTGGTTAGTGTCTGCATGCCATTTTATTTGTATTCTCTCTGCCAATAGCCACGTTTCTCTGCTCCACTCATCATAAGGTGAGCTTAGTTTGAATTACCCCTGTTAGGTGGGGAGCAGTCATCTAAAGCCACATGTGGTTGGCAGCCTACCTACTGACCTCCTTTCAGCCTTGATGTGCATCCATGTGGTAATTCCAACTTCTTTACTGCATGCTACATACTACTTGCTAAATAGAGAATGCATTAACATGTACTTCTACAAAATTGCTCTCCGACAGACGCTTGGAACAAAAAACATTTTAAACAAAGACACACAGCAGCCTTTCCTAAGAATGGAGCAGAAAAGGGCAGTGCAGATCCAGCGCAACCTCAGCACTGCCACTGGTTGCTCATGGTCTGCTGAACACCAGAGGTGCCACATTCACTTTCCAGACTCACTCTTGATGTGGTGCTCCTGTCTTCGTCAGCAAGGTCAAAACAAAGAACATGAAGATGACAAAAACTGCAAGACCAACCCAAAATCCAATCACAATGGAATCTGTCAAAAAAAGAGAAAACAATACGATCAGTATTTCACCTACACTTGCAGAAACTCTGCAGCCTGACTGCTAATTCCAAAAGATTTTGCATCTTATTCCTGGTGGAAAAAAGGAGAAGGATGCCAAAGCCCTCCTTTGTAGCCTGGATTTAACTTCTTTCTAGACAAACCAGAAACAAACTGAAAGAGTGAAGGGGCTGGATTCTCCTGGCTGTTAAACTAAGAGCAGCTCCTTTTGTTATCCTTGGCCCACGTTCAAGCATTGCTTTGGAAACAATGTCAGTGCTAGCACAAAGATTAGAGGATTATTTGACTTTCAGCAAAAACCTCTGTCCCTGTAGCACTGAGTTACTGTTATTCTGAATGATTTCTCTTCTGAGGCCACAGGGCTTCTAGTTTTTGATGGATCACTTAGGCATAGGAAGATTTTGCTTCCTTTCAGTGGTGAAATAGAGGCTTCTAAAGTAAATGAAAACACAGATTTTCTGTTTGCTACCTTAACAAACATCAACAATGAACATCTAATTTTTGAGTTTCTGACTTCCATACAGAAAACTGTAACACAGTGTCAAAAGGGTCAAACGAATTTGGACAAAAATCAATTAAAATGCAATAGCCTCGTCAATGCAATTGCAGTCTGACTGTTATCCAGAAATGAAGCCTCTTAGAAGTAACCTAGTACATACCTTCCTGCTTCATGGCAAGATAAAACACAGTTCATCCATTCTAGAGAAATAGCTGTCTAGCCCATTAAAAAACCTTCACGAGGAAGGTTCCAGACCAGCAATCCAGCCCAAATGCTGTTATTACTGTTTTCCTATGTCCAATTAGGCCTCCCCTGCTCTAATAAAAGCCCATTGCATCTTATCCCACACTCAGTTCAAATAGTCTGCTATAGCTTCTGCCTGGGCTTCCCTAAAACGTGTGGCACTTGTCCATACACAGAAAACATACTTACTGTTCTCATTTACAGCAAATGGATCTGTACATAAATCACCAGCACTATGTAAAACATATCTAAGTCTGCTTATGACTTCCCAGTAGACCTAAAGCTGCTTCTGAACACATCTCAAAACGTTTAGTAACTTGATTAAGAGATGGTACACGTGGGACAAACCAACAACAATCAGCTGGTAGGCATAGCCCAAATCTACAGAGCATGAAGCCAAAATGTGGTCTGGTCCAGGACCCACAGCCTGCAGGTGCTTTTTCACCTATCCTTCAGTTGGTTATTCTTAGTTTATGCAAATATGCAAACTGTCACTGTAAAGTTCAAACCAATAATGTAGGGGCATGCCAGAGGAAAGTCTTAGGACTATCTCTCTTTACACAGCTACTATTGAACGTCACAGATCTGCTTGCCCCACTGCAGCAGACAGAGCACACACTAACCAAAATATTGAATGCTCAGTCTCGCCCTTAGGACTAACTGAAGACTCCAGAAAACAGGAATTGGGTAACCTGCCTGCCGCTTGGCCCCTGTGGTTAATCATGCACCCGCTGTGAAACATCTTCCATGTTAAAGGAAGATCTGGAAACTGGAGATCAATTCAAACCATTTGATCTTTCTGTGTGAAGTAGAAGTGTACCTGCTGTGACTCAACATTGTCTCCCTGTGAAAATACTTTATCACAATCAAGTCACTCCTTAATCTCATTTTCTGATACACTAAGCAGGTTTAGCTTCAAGTCTCTCTCTGCAAGGCTTTTTCAATCTGTACTCTTCCACATCCTTTCCACTCAACATCTTTGTAAAGAAACTGAAGGGCGATTCAGCTGTAGATCTTCACGATGAATGGAAAGTAGAGTGTGGTATAAATCACCCCATGCTGACGCTCACCACATTTTTTAAAAAGGAATACTCCTTTTAGCTTCAAGCATAATGGTAAGAGTTTATTTCTGCAAACCTGTGCATTATGAACCCTGAATTAGTTTCAGAATAATTTTGCAAGTTTAGTCTGTACTCAGTGTTTGCAGATGCATTTTTTTAATAAAAAGTATTAAAAAAGAAATGTTTTCTGTGTATTGGGTTGTTTTGTGAACACTTATCTCCACTGATCATTTTACCTCAGTTTTCTCTGCTTTCTAAAACAAGCTTCTGAATTCCTTTTTATATAGAATCATAGAATCACAGAATGGCCTGGATTGAGAAGGACCACAATGATCATCTGGTTTCAACCCCCCTGCTACTTGCAGGGTCACCAACCACCAGACCAGGCTGCCCAGAGCCACATCCAGCCTGGCCTTGAATGCCTCCAGGGATGGGGCATCCACAACCTCCTTGGGCAACCTGTTCCAGTGCGTCACCACCCTCTGTGTGAAAAACTTCCTGCTAATATCCAACCTAAACTTTCCCTGCCTCGCTTTAAAACCATTCCCCCTTGTCCTATCACTATCCACTATCGTAAACAGTCTTATGTTTTACAGCCAGCTATGCGTCACCGTCAGCCTGAATCACCTAAACTGGAGTCCATACCCCTTTCAACTTTCCAACATAAGTTACAGACATACATTAACATCCCTTCTCCAGTTTGGGTGGCATCTTTTCTTGTAGACTCCTTTCTAGGACAAAGATCTGAAAGAAATTTGGTAGAACTCAAATTCATACATCCACCAACATTCAAAGACCATTCTGCCATGAAGGCCCTTCCTGATCTCAGGGCAGAAGAATAAGAAGGGCTCTCAGCCATTTCTGATTTTCAGGCCAGCTGAGTTGGTGTTTTCTGTATGAATGGCACCACAGATATTTTCTGTCTACGCTGCACACCTCCACACCACTTGCTCAGGCCTTTTATTCCCTTGCCTCCTTTACAACTCACTATACAATACACAGATAAACCAACAGCACCCTTTTAACTTCACACTGTAAGCCAGATCACTAAAGCAGAGCCTCTCTTGTTGCTTTCATGTCAGTTTTTTATCACTGATTCTGATTCTATCATTACAGCAGAACTTAGAATAGCACAGGTGATGAAGATGGAATATTCCCTAGTGGGAATATGTCTACAAAACCTCAACATTGCTATTTGTGGTGCCTGCCTCTTGAGAATTTAAGATTTTGTCAGCAAACGCTGAAAATCACCTTGCTATTCCAAATATTATGAGATTTAAGATTTCTTATACGGTTTGGAAAAAAAAAAAAAACAAAACACCAAAAAAAACACCACTGTCAGTATTCAAAGTCTTCCATGACAACGCAATCTTAACATAATCTCTTCTCCTCCCTCCTCCACAAGTTTCAATTTCTATTAAATGAAATGTCTGATCACGTTGCCTCCAAATTCAACAGGCCAAACTCAGCTGGAGTTATCCAGAACAAGAAACTTATTGATACGACATCATCAACACAGGCATAGGATGTATTTACTCACACATTTTTATGAAACTAATATCAACCTGATTGAGAATGCATGCGGTAACATAAATCCAACCTATCAGTAAAAAGTCACTGATTCAATACTTCTGTTAGCCTCTTTTTCATAAATGTATCACACTCTACCTGAAAAACAGTTGTTCCTTCTGTCCCAATAATAAGCGTGGTCCAGAACCCTCCTGCTCTACAAACAGCAGATAGGCACTAAAGATGAGCTACCATGCCCAGCATGGCAAACAGCTCAACGGCAATTCAAGATTTGGTTTGCCATTAGGCCTTCAGCAAGACAGAAGTAACTCCTATTTGTGTTTTTTCATCCTATACCACTCTGACACACAGAGCTAAAAAGATGTTGTACATCCTTGAGCTCAAAGAGGGTAGGTTCAAGCTCAAATAGGGTATGTTTTGAAGCTCAGAGAAGGTACATTTAGTTTAGATAGAAGGAAAAAGTCTTTTACAGTGAGGGTGGTGAGGCACTGGAACAGGTTGCCTAGTGATATGATGGATGCCCACACTGTCACTGGAGTGACATTACCAGTGACATTGTTACTGGAGACTTCCAAGGCAAGGCTGGATCAGGCCATGGGCAGCCTAATCTAGCTGTGGTGTCCCTGTTCATTGCAGGGGAGTTGGACTAGATGGCCTTCAGAGATCCCTTCCAACTCTAAGAATTCAATGATTCTACACACATCAGCTAATCTTTGTAATAGAGTTTGGCCTCTGATTTGGTGGAGGAAGATGAGGAGGATAAAGGCAGATAAAATTAGAAACATGAGAAAAGCTAATCTACATTTTTCAAGTATCTAATATTTGTAAAAATGCAGAGAGTAAGCATCAGATTTTTGTAAATTGTAAAAACCAAAATTGTAAAGGTAAACTACAATTTGGGCCAAAAAGCAACTTTTGCTCCAGTTCTTGTTTTCTAGGCACGTTAAAAACTTCAGCAAGTTCTTCCTGACTCTCCCAGTACCACGCAAAACCCTCCCAGCTGTGCAGAAGCAAGGCAGACAGGCGTTCCTGGGCTACCAGCTGCCACTGCAAGCACTCCTTTTCCCCAGTCTGAATCCTCATTGTGGTAAGCAAGACATGAAGTGTGCACCCCACCCCAGACCAGTGCTCCAGTACTGGATGGGGCCCCTTCCTCACTACTTCAAAGACTGGTGCTCAAACTCTTGCCCAGGGTACTCAGCTCAGAAGCAGTGGAATAAGATGGTTTGCTTATCTTTGGTAAAGTGCTTGCAATGCCTTCCATAGTTTTGAGTTTCTGGGCTTTTTAGTTGTTGTTTTTTTGTTTTGGTTTGGTTTGGTTTTTTTGTTGGTTTTTGCTTTGCTTTGTTTTTTAATTAAAAACTTCCTTCCCTCCCTCTCAAAAAACAAATTTTCTAGAAGTCAAAGCTATTGAAACTAAACACTGTTATGCACTAGCTTGTCCCAGTTAAATGATCTCCCAATTTCTACACATATGTTTCATTTCTCTGGTCTCCGTCCTCCACTTTTTACTTGTACAGTTATTAAGCAGCTTCAGCATTTGGATGACACTGAATTTAGCACAAACGTTCCATAAAGAAATTCCTAATGATAAAAGTTTCTTCAGAAAAAAGAATTTTCTTTTTTTAAGTCTCTGAAAGTTTGAAACTTATTTTTTAGGAAATAAAATCGAAAGCAGTAAGGCTGCCCATTAATGCCTTTTTTGCATTAATGGGAACAGGAACAGAATAACATGGATCATAGCAAGCAGTAACAAGATGTAACACTTCAGTTCCTAGAAGCGTGATAGTCCCCAGTAATAATGAATTTCTAATACAGTCAAGAAACTCATAGTGTTCCTATACATAAGGAAAGCAGTCAAAACAAACAAACAAAACTATAATAATCTAATAAACTATTTGTTGAAAAAAATTGGAGAGATTTCAGCACAATAATCACTTATAAGTGAAGAGCAGGAATTTTAAGATGGGGAAGCACAGCTGAAATAAAACACATCTGTACTGAACTTACATTTATGAGCCTTCAGGCCTTCAAATGACACTGGTCCATACTCATAGTACTCATACTCCCAGGTGTAATCAGAGTTAGACAAGGCCTGCTGGGAGGTTCTGTTAGAAATCAACCTCAGGGCAGACATCTCGCACCTAAATAAATATATCCTATGGATATGAAATGCATTAGTAAAGAAACACATATTTCTAACACATCTTTGATTTTAGAATCATATCTTTGATTTTCAATGCCTGTATAAGCGTACAAAGTACCAAAAGCAGGCTTCTCAGAATATAATTTTTAGAGTTGAAAAAGTACTGAATCCCAAAGACTACCATGCTTGGCAGCTTACAACGAATGCTGCCATGAGATTCTGTGTGGAGAAGTGGCCAGAGTGCCAAGCTCAAAGTGTTACATCACTCATACAAAGTCCAGCTGGCACCCTGGAATAACACTCTTTTACGTCTTCCTTAAAGAGCCAGACAATGAGTGAGAACGCATTGGCAGCAAGCTCATGGATTACCTGAGGGACAGACAAAAGGCTGAAGGGCAGATTGATATTCAGAGGGACCCAGACAAGCTGGAGAATTCAGCTGACAGGAACCTGAATTAACACAAGTGCAGTCAGCGCGTCAAGAGAAGAATTTCTTATTCTCTATTCAGCACTGGTGAGACTGCACCTGAGGGACCATATCGTAAGTAACTGGAAGACATGGACATATGCTAGAGTCAGTCCAATGGAGGGCCACCGTGATGGTCAGGGAGCTGCAGCAAAGGATGCATGAGAGGCCAAGGGAATTGGGTTTGCTCAGCCTGAAGAAGAGAAAGCTCAGGGGAGACCTTAGTGCTGGCCTACTGTCAAAGTCACAGTCAGAGGGCAGAGGGTAGACTGGCCAGATGTGGACAGCAACAGAGCAAGAGGCACCAGATACAAGTTGATTTGTGAGAAATTTCTGTTTGACATGAGGAAAAATTTACCTGATTTAATTGAACATGCTTTGAGCAGGAGATCAGACCAGATGACCACCAGGGGTCCCTTCCAACCTAGATTTTTCTGCGTGAGAAGCGTTTCAATGTGCTGCTAGGGAAGGAAAATAAGACAGGAGTGATTTTTCCCAAAGATCAACAAGAACTGCAATCCAACACTTATCATCATTAAAATTAGCCTAATAGACATTCTGTCATTACAATATTGAAACACTGCACTAGGAATGTGCATTTTTCAGAACGTTAGACAGTTCTACACACATCAGAAGAAAGCACGTCTTTGCACACTTGCTGCAGCAGCTGGAATCAGAACATCTGTTATAAGTAGCTTTATTATAAAATGGCATTCCATAAGAAACTATTCAGTGCTCTTCTAAAAGTAAATTGAGCTTTGGGTAATTTTGCATTCAGTTAAAGCCCAGCAGAATGAAGACTTCATGCAGTGTGTAAAACTAATGCAGTTAGCTGTTCTCTGTACAAGGAAACCCCACAGAATACAACTTCAAATCCAGATAAAACTTCTTGGAGAAACAAAAAGAAGAAAATAGAGGTCTCTAAGTAACCACGTCACTCAAAACAGCTGAAACTTCAGTCCTTCCATTAGATTGAGTAAAGCTGTGTGCAAGTAAAGGACATTGTTCAAATGCTGGAAGGGCCACGTATAAAGAACAGGAATGGGGCACAAAGTGAGGAACACATATTCACCCAAAACATACAAGCAGACATCCAAGCTCTTTAAAAAGAAACAAAAAAAGGGTTCTCCTTCTGTAATAGTAAGTGAAAAAATATATAAAGCAATAAATAGGCCTTGTTTTCAAACTCAAACCAGTTTAGTTTTCAGCACTGGCAATTCACCCCACATTTATTTGTATAAGGACAAAGTGCTTCACATTACCCTCACCCTCCTTCAGCCTCTAAGAAAGCCCCCAGATGGATAAATAGCATGAAACACAGAAGGCCAGAAATGAAGAAAGGTTACTGCTTGGAATGGACAATCCAGTTCATGGCCCAGCACCTTCATATGATGCAAGATGACAGGAAAAAGTGAACACTTTTATGTACTTGTGTTAACCAGGGAAGTTCTTCCCTTTCTTTCTCAGTGAGAAAAACTTCCCCTATTTTCTGGAACCCAAGAGGATATCTGATCAAGCTTTAGATTTGCTTTTAAATTCAGCTAATTTAGCTGCTGCTTTCTGGGAGAAGCAAATGGCACAAAGGGAAAACTATGATTCTTGTCCTAATTTGTTCTCAGCACAGTTGTCCCTGCATTTCATTTTTGTGACTAAACCCTGTGGGTTCCCATCATCTTTTCCCCTTCTCCTCAATGTTTTCTCAATGATGCATCTCTTGCCAAATTTTATTATACATTCTGTCTAAGCCTGCTTATCTCTTTAGCAGCATTTTAGAGAAGTCTTTCACTTAAATATTTTTCATACTGCTTGTTCATTGTTACCTTCTCTCTTTCAGTATTATAATAAAAGCTGAACCGGAATCTGCAGTCAGAAAATTTCAGCATAGGTTACCTGAAGAGTCAGAAAAATGCTGCTTCTTCTACCTCAAACACAAGCAAATGGGATTAATTGGGCCACATGCAGGTCTCTCTCCCTCTCCAACTAATCACTATTGTCCATTTATGGTCTATTTGGAGAAGAGTCACTTCTACAACACCAAAAATTTGTCCTGCTTCAGCTGTAGGTTCAGACAAATAGCTTCAGTGTATCGCCACTGGCTAAAAGCATTTCTATGCTTACTTCTGTTGTAAGCACTAAGCCACTATCAGAGAAAGCTAACTGAAATTTTGGCCACCAGCTCCCAGGGTAATCTGCAGGGTGAGCTAGCAGCCTGCTTCGTGCATCTGCAAGGTGCAGTGGGACAGGGAAGGAATCTGGATTCCAGATAAGGGATTCTAAAAAGGAATTTGCCCAGGAAACAGTCAAAAACTCTTTTTTTTTTTTTCCCCAAGTAGACAGCAGTGATACATCCCCCACCTCCAAAGCATGACAGGGAGCTCCTCTGAGTGGCCTTGCTGAATTTGTTTTGTTTTTCTGTAGAGGCCATAAGGAGTTAAGGCAAACACCAAAGTCCCTCTGTTACCTTCAGTGTGTACCAATGCTGGCAGCCTTCCCTCACCCTGCTTCATTACTTTCAGGAGCAAATGAGTGAGGAATAAAAGCTTCATTTGCTCTCTCAAGGAAACCCAAAATGAAGCCATGCTCTGTGCCACCAACCAGGAGATGCAAGCAGGTTAGTCACCTGTCAGTAAAAGGGCAAATCCTCACGGCCCTCTTCTGGAGCACTGGCTTGGTCTCTCTGCAGACTAAAGGATGTCAGCAGGTGGCTGCAGCTCCTGGAATTGAGTTATGCCTTCATGAGAACTTGTTCAGAGCCTTTGCTGAAGTTTGTAAGGTCTCAGCTGCCTCCCAGTGATACACATGCAAGCTATTTCAACTCCGCAGATCTATCTCTGCACAAAATCCACATCTCTGAACTGCAGCTGGACTATTTGCATCACTCTGGATATCATCAGCAAATCTGCTCTGCACAACCACTTACCTTTCACACAGACACCAAGGTTCTCTGAAACTGGACACACACCATGTCTGAAGCACAGTTTCATGGTTTAAGCTGCCACTGGGGCCACCAAGGCAAATCTGATTTTGTGTACATCTGGAACCGGCCTTGTATGTAACCAGCAACAACCACCTCCAAATCTGACCTGCACACACAACAGTAAATTTATGCAGACTGCAATCTACTTCTTCATATCTGAAGCAAGATAAACTACCAGTGAGGAAGATGCAAGAAATGAGGCACATTTTCAATCAAAAACTACATTAATTTTTCATGTTTCCATTCTGCTTACCGGTGCACAGTCTGAAAACTTGATCAACTTCTGGCCCCTTGCAAACAATGAACATCCCAGAAGCCAAACATGCACAGAAAGCAACAACATTTCGAACCGAGCAGTCCAAGGCTAAGTAAGCTGGTACATCAGTTCCACAGGCTAGGCAGTGCAATTAAACCAGAAGCTGCTGGCTATAGGAAGTTAATAACTCAGGCTGTTCCTTTGCCCTGAGTCCCCATAATAACAGCAATATTCTGGGGGGCAAAGGAACCAGCCTTCATCAGCACTGCACTGCTTTTTACTCCAGCCCAAGGTCTAAGAGATGCAATCACAAAGAAGCCAGTGAGGAAATGAAGCACAAACGTAGCGACTCTGCTCTGCTTGAGCTAAAACACACAGAACCCAGCTTTCTACAGCCCTAACCTATGGCTATTGTTTTGAACAAGCTCTGCCACTTTCAAGCGCAGATGAGAAAGGAGTTTGCAGGAAATACTTAGCCAAATGGTCTGTGCTTCTTTGCCAATTCACAAGATCCTAAATGTGCAGGACTTGAGGTGCAGCTCAAGGTCTTGTATGAGAAATATCCAATCTTCCTGCCTGCAACTAGAGAAGAAAGCAAGCAATAAAAATTCAAAATTTAGTAAGAAAAAAAAACCAACAAGATAATTGAAAACTGTACAATCAGAAATCAGTGCTAATCTCAAGTGCACAGCACCTGGGACTTATCTTTGAAGGAAATGAACTGATGTTAATAGCTCATGAAAAGCATCATTTGCACGAGCTATTGCGTGAAAGCAGTAAGAATGGTATTGGACTCATCACAGGAAGACTTTCTAACAATGGTAAGGAAAATCACTGTTTTAGTCACTGCTTATCCAGGGAACTAAGTACAAGAAATGAAAAATTGCAGACATCTGTACTGCATACTGCTGTATTATACCTCACATAGCATACTTTTTAATATCCTTACCATTGTCGAGTGTAAACTAGACTCCAATAACACAGTGCTCATACAATATGCATATGAATTACCAACAAATACTCTAGTTTTCCTTGAACACTTCATGTACTGTGGAGCTTTGCTGCAGCGTAGGAGGCCTCCACACCGTGTACAGTTCGCATGCAAATTGCATTGCTGCCATTTGTGCCTAGTTTAAAAGCAATTACTGTATGAATTTAAAGTAAAGTTTAACGTATGAAAGACAAAAACAGTTGGCTAAGTATCTTCCTAAAAGATCATAAACATGTATGCAAACACCAGTGCCCACTTATCAGCTCTGCTCAGTAGGGGCCACCTCAAGATGGGCAGAAAAACATACAAAATCATATTGCACTGCACTGACAGGCAACTAATGGATTTGAGAAAAAGTTGATACCTTGCATGCTCACTTTTAAGTCTTGTCTCTGAAGAAAGCTAAATTGTACCTAATGAGATATCATAAAAGCTATATATTCCTTCTATTCTTAAAAAGTTTCAATCCTGAGCTGATAATAAAGGTACAGGGAATTGTCAGAGTTAGCAGAGAGCATTGAAGCAGCTAGCTTAGTTTAAATGTGGTACCAAAAGCCTGAAAAATTACAGCCAGAACAGACAATTCTAAGACAGCATTATCTACAACCAAAAAAAGAGATATTAGACATAATTCCATGTATTTCCTGCAGCCAGGACAGGACTTTACATTCAATCTATCTTCATGCTTCAAAGCCTAGCTTCAGTTGAGTTCAAAAACCATAAATCAGATTTTGCCATCCTGAGCATCAAAATGAAGTATTACAAGTGTCCACACTTCCACCCAAATAATAAACCTCCACAAAAAACACACAATTTGACAGCTGTTTTAGTCACAGTAGAACAAAACTAACTCTTCCTTCTAAGCAAAGGCTGCTTTTCTAAAGAAAGAAAACTATATCTGAACAATAGGTTCTAATTTCAGAGCCACTGTAAAGAGCAAGGGTAATCCTTCCAGCTATTCATTGAAAGCCCAACCCCTCCATTGCACAGCACTGACCTTATGAGAAGCAGCAGGCTCACAAACACAGCACAGCTGTGGTTGGAGGAGAGCTCCAGGTCCACCTGTGTCCCCATCCTCTCAGTCCTGCACATATGGCAGCTCCACAACTTCAGGCCCTTCAACACTAGTCACACTAGGAAAAGCCCTGCCAGGGAGCCATAAACCACTGACATCTTTTCATTCCTACATTTGTACAAATGCTGACAGAAAG